AAGGTAAACCTTCAAAATTTTAATATTTTTATAAATTATAGCAAAATAAAAGCTTTTAGGTGCTAAATGTCGCTCGCAAACTACCAAACTGAGCCAGGCGCAAACAGGAAACTGCCGATGCGCACCAACAATCCCGTTCTCACGTCCACTTGCCAAACATTTTTACCTGTCTGCATTGGGTTAAATTTTCTGAGAGAAACTGTATTTTGTGTAATAACACAACTTACAAAAGTATGTTCTTTTTCAAAATCTATTATGAAATTATATTGGTTAATTTTGTATAAAACAAGAAGATTTAATGTAGATTTTCCTCTTAATTTGTATCTATAACTATTATAAATTGCTCTTTAGCCTGTTGCAGTTTGTTCCAAAAATGTGGAACATTTACAACCTGTTGAGATTGTAATTCATACAAACAGGACTCCAAAAAGTGTGTACGATAAAAATGGAGACTCATAGTTGTGTCTACATATACCGATGTGGTATGAAGTCTATTTACGAAGTCCATATTTCAATTAAGCATATGGCCCTTATCTTATAAAGCTTGTCCCACTGTTAATGTATGTTTCATCAAATTCATAAACAGCAGAAATCATATAGATATAGACTCAAAATCCCAAACAATCTTGCAGACTGAAAGAAACAACAAAAGCTTACCATACGCAGCCCAATTTCCTTATCATTTCCACTCTTGCCAGTTTTCCTTATCACCTTCACCCTTGCTAAATAAGCATCAGATATAAAATGTTCTTGAATGATACCTGAAAGATTCATGTTGAACAAAATGGGAAGAACAAGAAAATACAAGCATATGCCCATAAAAATGTCTGTGCCATTTCTCATGCCATTCTTATATTATACTTGAAAGATATATGTTAAACAAAGGCATATAAAACAAAGGAAAGAACAAGAGAACACTTGATTCTAGCATATTTGTGTGTTTTCCTTATTTGAAGTCTGTACCTGCCATAGTGTATTCTGTTCCACATGTGATTACCTTAGTTGGCAGCCTATAGAATACAATTTTTTTTCCAAGATATTCTACATTTTCTCACTTTTTTTTTTTTTTTTTTTTTTTTTTTTTTTTTTTTTTTTTTTACAAAGAAAATATAATTATTTCTAGATTTATGTTCCAGCATGAAGCAAGAACAAATTTTGTTTTTATCTTTGCCTCTTGTCTTTAGTTATCAAACATTATTACTCACCAAAAAATAAGAAGAAACTGCTAATAGAAGCTGATTATACAGGCTCAATAGGCGCCTTATTTGCCAACATTTGAAGTCCACTTCAAATACTCATAATCATCAAGAAACAGAAGCTTATCACCTTGAGCACACGTACAAATACATCATTATAGAGTACACTAAAATTTTTAGTGCTTTAATAAGGATGACATCATTTAACTTTGACTTAAATTGTGCTATATTATAATATTAGTTACAATCACTGCAAATATTTATGCATTATACTTTTGGTACCTGGCCTCCAATTTGGCACCACTGATTACAGTTAATAAATATTTTTCTTCCTTTCTTTCGTTTCTTCTTTCTGGAAGAAACAAAAGTATGGTATGGGAACATATGCTTTATGGCAACATGAAAGACCTGGTACAGGCCTTTTTGATGGCTTGCCTGTAATCCCCCACCCATTATTTTATTTGTGTGTGCCTTAGTTGTATGATTCTGAACTCAGCAGGATGAGTCTGTAGGCTAGCCTTGGCAAGCCCCAAAGCTGGAATCATCACCTTTTGGCCTAATCAGTGTGTTATATGGGGAATTAGGCAGGCTAGTGCTACAGTATTCTTTGCTCAAGGCATGCTCATTTTTTGCAGTGATTTATAGCTTACATTTGTCTTACAAAGTTTATCACAAAACATTAAAAACATTTTTAATCTGAACTAACTGTAATATAACAATACAGGTTGCTGGGTTGTCAGAGTTGGCTTAGGGACCAGGGATAAGTCTGGCTGATGGAACATTGGATTAAATAACTATAACCCCCTGGTTCCGGATGATATTGCGATCATGTCAAGGAAAGACTTGGGTGATGTGAACAAAGCGTCAAGAACGAAGTCCAGGGTGACAGAAAAGACTTACCATGAGTGCACAAACCTCTTGGAGAGTGATTTGACTCATTTGGCACTTAGAATTAGGCTTTAGCATTATTCCCATCAATAAACGAATGTGGAATCCATTGCAACTGGATCCAGGGGTTAATATATGAAAAAAGCCTGGAAATTCCATCATAATTCTGCCCATGATAAATAACTTGTACTGTTTAGACTAAAATTATAAAGATTACACTGAAATTGCAATAGCTGGAACATTTGTAACCTGTCCTACATCTTTAACTTTAATGGTTTCACTTTCTGAGCTTGTGCTTTGTTACCATACTTACATTTCTTGCTGTATATAATCTATTCTCTTGTTGACATTCTGCCGAGCCTCCTCCAGGTCTTGCCGAATCAGAGCAGGTCCGATAAGCTTGTACACAACTGCAGAGTCGTCAATGAGATCAAGCTCCTGTGGACAAAACAATGATATTAATTCCTGCTTTATAATTAAAATTCATTATACTAACTGTAAGATGAACTAGCATTGCAGTCACTTTCCCTGCTTACACAAGCTGGCTAAAGTCTAATATAGGGTATATCATATCCTTCAGCCACATGGATTAGGCCAAAGTTATCTTAAAATATATTTAAAAACTTTTAGACTAAATAATCAATAATATGTGATTTCCTACACCCTCTATGGAACAGTCCCCCTAAAGCCAATTCAGACATAACTATATAGGGACTATATAAAGCTATTCAACAATTACTACTTCTTTCAATACTGATGTGCAAGTCCTTAGTTTCAATAAGTGCTCAGTGAGGCCCTTAGACTCGAGTCTGATAGAGTAGCCATTGGCAGCAGCTTTTACTCTAGACCTTGAAGTCTCCTTTCTGTCAGGATGTGCCATACAAATTACCTATATTCAATATCAATGTGTAAATGTAAACTCTAATCTTAAAGAGTCACTAAACATCAAATCAACTGAAAAAGAGGACTGGAAAAAAATAGTTTAAAAAAGGCAGAGTTAGCATATTAACCAATTAGTTTTAAAACCTAAGAATTACCCAGTGTACAGAGCCAGTCAGACACTGGCTGCTGAGTGTGTACCATCTGCTTTAAGAAGTAAAGGGAACATATGTTTTATGGCCATATGAGACACCTGGTACAGGCATTTATTTTATTTGTGTGAACCTACCGCCTGCATGTGAATTATAGCACAACTTGGTAACAGTGTTTTTCCACAACAGTACTGCCCTTCACATTGACACAGCTTTAAAAATACAATGTCTAATTACAAATTTCAAAATGTATTAGGAATATCAAAAATATAGCTTTCTAACTTTAAAAAACACAAAGGATGTTAGGCCTAACCAAAGTAATAGTAAATAAACCTTAATATAAAAAGTATCTTCCAACATTACTCAATGGCAGCAAAAAATAACTGGTGTGCACTAATTTCAGGAAAGCTGCAAAAAACTTATACGTGCAAGGATGACATTTTTTCGTCAGCTCTTTGACTCTGGCCAATAATTGTTTTTCAACACAAGCACTGAAAAACTAGGACTTAGGTCGAGTTTAGAAGACCCCTATCAAGATCCATGCCTATATAGTGCATACAACAGAGAGCAGCCAAGAGGGGAGAGTAAGCAGACCTTATGCCTCAGGGCAGGATGAGTCTACATATTGTCTTTCCATAATTCAATGCATATCATAATTTGCAACAATTCTTTTAGCCTATGCATGACAAGAGACCGTTATTACTGTTTCAGAGCAATAGGGAACAGAATGCAGAATGTTCTGACATTGTTTTCAAACTCCTCTTCAAAAATACAAAATAGCTGAAGAAGATATTCCTGAGACTTGTAAAATAACAGCCAATCCTTAATTTGAATAATATCCCTTTATGGGTAATTTATCTGCTTTGAAGTTAATAACCAGGACTGAGTTCAAAGACAAGGAAGGAATTAAGACATAAACGTCAATGAGGGAATTTCTGTAACTGACTTTATCAAACCTAACAGCGGATTATTAATAAATATTTTACAACTGCATTATAATACACATTCTAATTTCACAAATAATATGTCTCACATTATAAAGATAGCCTTCACTATACAGTGCTTACCTCTTTAACTACTTTATTTTCATTCAACTGCCCATCAAGCTGGGAGCGCAAGCCATTGGTCTTGGTCAGATCTGTAGAGGAAAATAAACTCCAGTTTTACAAATATTTCAATGACATAGAGTGCTTAAAACAGGCAAAGCAGTGAGATTTGAGGTAGTCTACATGATTTATCCAAAACGAATTCATTACAAGAAACAAAAAATCTGGGAACATGGAAAGTAAACTGCAAGCAGCCTGCATTTAGTCTGTACTTAGGCTGTTCCTATAGAACAATATTCCCTGTAGAAACATACCTGGTCCTTTGAAGTATATAAGAAAAAAACTAGGGCCATTGAGAACAACAATTCAAATATGGATGTAATAAGCAGTAAAACAAATAAACAAACAAACAAAATGAAATAAAAAAGTAGTCTAATGTGAAAGAGTTCCCAGTTAGATCTTCTAGGATTACTTTCTAAGGTAAATCATCGTAAATAGTAGTAATTAATTGGTAATACATCTATAAAAATCAAGTCTATACTACAATATACACCAATAATGTCCTTCATATGCCATAAGACATCACTAAGGTAAGCCATCAATCAAACATGAACATATAGAAAAAAGTGATTTCAACCACTTTCTGCTAACATTAATAGCACACTAAAACTTCTTGAAATGGAAGGCCCAGCCCAGCCCAGCCGCACACGCTGAGCATCCAGACAGAACACACAAGCAGTTGTCTGTACTTCCTAGAAGGAGCACCAGAAAACCCATCAGCAATGGGATAAATCCACACCTATGATAGCTTTACAAGCTTAAGCAAATAAAATGTCATG